CCACTAAAGACCAGAAAGCTAAACCGTTTTCAGGTCTGCGACAAGTGACTAACTTGTAATGGGAGAAATTCGGACATCCAACCACTAAAGACCAGAAAGCTAAACCGTTTTCAGGTCCGCTGCGACAAGTGACTCACTTGTAATGGGAGAAATTCGGACATCCAAGCACTAAAGACCAGAAAGCCAAACCGTTTTCAGGTCTGCGACAAGTGACTCACTTGTAATGGGAGAAATTCGGACATCCAACCACGAAAGACCAGAAAGCCAAAAAGTGTTCAGGTCTGCGACAAGTGACTCACTTGTAATGGGAGAAATTCGGACATCCAACCACTAAAGACCAGAAAGCTAAACCGTTTTCAGGTCTGCGACAAGTGACTCACTTGTAATGGGAGAAATTCGACATCCAACCATCAAAGACCAGAAAGCTAAAACCGTTTTCAGGTCTCCGACAAGTGACTCACTTTTTGGTGGGAGAAATTCGACATCCTACACTAAAGACCAGAAAGCCAAACCGTTTTCAGGTCTGGGTGACAAGTGACTCACTTGTAATGGGAGAAATTCGACATCCAACCACTAAAGACCAGAAAGCTAAACTGTTTTCTAGGTCTGGTGACAAGTGACTCACTTTTGGTGGAGAAATTCGACATCCAGAAGCACTAAAGACCAGAAAGCCAAACCGTTTTCAGGTCTGCGACAAGTGACTCACTTGTAATGAGAAATTCGACATCCAACCACTAAAGACCAGAAAGCTAACCGTTTTCAGGTCTGCGACAAGTGACTCACTTGTAATGGGAGAAATTCGGACATCCAACCACTAAAGACCAGAAAGCTAAACCGTTTTCAGGTCTGCGACAAGTGACTCACTTTTGGTGGGAGAAATTCGGACATCCAAGCACTAAAGACCAGAAAGCTAAGCCGTTTTCAGGTCTGCGACAAGTGACTCACTTGTAATGGGAGAAATTCGGACATCCAACCACTAAAGACCAGAAAGCTAAACCGTTTTCAGGTCTGCGACAAGTGACTCACTTTTGGTGGGAGAAATTCGGACATCCAACCACTAAAGACCAGAAAGCTAAACCGTTTTCAGGTCTGCGACAAGTGACTCACTTGTAATGGGAGAAATTCGGACATCCAACCACTAAAGACCAGAAAGCTAAACCGTTTTCAGGTCTGCGACAAGTGACTCACTTGTAATGGGAGAAATTCGACATCCAACCACTAAAGACCAGAAAGCTAAACCGTTTTCAGGTCTGCGACAAGTGACTCACTTGTAATGGGAGAAATTCGGACATCCAACCACTAAAGACCAGAAAGCTAAACCGTTTTCAGGTCTGCGACAAGTGACTCACTTGTAATGGGATAAATTCGGACATCCAAGCACTAAAGACCAGAAAGCTAAACCGTTTTCAGGTCTGCGACAAGTGACTCACTTGTAATGGGAGAAATTCGGACATCCAACCACTAAAGACCAGAAAGCTAAACCGTTTTCAGGTCTGCGACAAGTGACTCACTTGTAATGGGAGAAATTCGGACATCCAACTACTAAAGACCAGAAAGCTAAACCGTTTTCAGGTCTGCGACAAGTGACTCACTTTTGGTGGGAGAAATTCGGACATCCAACCACTAAAGACCAGAAAGCTAAACCGTTTTCAGGTGTGCGACAAGTGACTCACTTGTAATGGGAGAAATTCGGACATCCAACCACTAAAGACCAGAAAGCCAAACCGTTTTCAGGTCTGCGACAAGTGACTCACTTGTAATGGGAGAAATTCGGACATCCAACCACCAAAGACAAAAAGCTAAACCGTTTTCAGGTCTACAAGTGAACCTTGTGGGATAAATTCGGACATCCAAGCACTAAAGACCAAAGCTAAACCGTTTTCAGGTCTGCGACAAGTGACTCACTTGTAATGGGAGAAATTCGGACATCCAAGCACTAAAGACCAGAAAGCTAAACCGTTTTCAGGTCTGCGACAAGTGACTCACTTGTAATGGGAGAAATTCGGACATCCAACCACTAAAGACCAGAAAGCTAAACCGTTTTCAGGTCTGCGACAAGTGACTCACTTGTAATGGGAGAAATTCGGACATCCAAGCACTAAAGACCAGAAAGCCAAGCCGTTTTCAGGTCTGCGACAAGTGACTCACTTGTAATGGGATAAATTCGGACATCCAACCACTAAAGACCAGAAAGCTAAACCGTTTTCAGGTCTGCGACAAGCGACTCACTTGTACTGGGAGAAATTCGGACATCCAAGCACTAAAGACCAGAAAGCTAAACCGTTTTCAGGTCTGCGACAAGTGACTCACTTGTAATGGGGGAAATTCGGACATCCAACCACTAAAGACCAGAAAGCTAAACCGTTTTCAGGTCTGCGACAAGTGACTCACTTGTAATGGGAGAAATTCGGACATCCAACCACTAAAGACCAGAAAGCTAAACCGTTTTCAGGTCTGCGACAAGTGACTCACTTGTAATGGGAGAAATTCGGACATCCAACCACTACAGACCAGAAAGCTAAACCGCTTTCAGGTCTGCTGCGACAAGCGACTCACTTGTACTGGGAGAAATTCGGACATCCAAGCACTAAAGACCAGAAAGCTAAACCGTTTTCAGGTCTGCGACAAGTGACTCACTTTTGGTGGGCTAAATTCGGACATCCAAGCACTGAACATTACTGTAGAAAGGTAGAAAGCTAAAAAGCTAAGGCAGCTGAGGGGATGGTTGCGAACCACCAGGCTAACATGGAAGCTCCAATTGGCCTCTGTAAATGGAACCAAGTTAGCCTGGGGGCAGGGTACCCCGAGTTGTTGCTTGGTTGGTTTTGGGAGACTCAAGGAAAATCAACATCCCTTTCGGGGTCTCTGATTGTGAGACGCACCCAATTGCGGGCGTGTCTCTTTCTACAGGCCCGGGTGTTGTCCTTGTTGTACTTTGGTTTCCCTTAAAACACAAAAGGCTGCCCTCAACAAAGACAAAGCCAAATTTGTGGGTGTGAATCTGATAAGGGTCCTATCCGTTCAACGGGGTTGGCTCAGGGAAAGCCCTTTCTGAACACCGTCCAAATGGGTGAGACTCTTGGGGGACCCTTTGGTGGACATCAGAATTCGGTGGGGACTCATGTCCACCAGCACGGCGATTTCCCTCTGGAAATGCATAGCCCTGTTTTGTGTTGGGATTTGCTGAGTCCCTTGGTGCAATAGACTGTTGCCTACTGATCTCCCTTAAATCCGACAGGAAGCGACTACAATGTGCGCTCCGGCATGGTCTAACCAAACTCTAAATCATAGTTTCAAAGGGAGACCAAAGGCAACCATTGAATTGTTTCAGGGTTCCATCCTACTTTGACAAAAACAAACATTGGCCTTGTGGTCGCCCTACTAAATGGAAAACATGGCCATGAGAACATTCACTAGCGACCCTGGTATGAAACCACCAACCTTCGGAGGTGGTTCGGACTCAACATGTCAAACAACTGGGTCTGTGTCGAATTTTGGATCGGACCCCCGCAAATGGGGGGCTGTCCTTGTGGTGCCCCTTTAAAACCAGCCAAACCGGCTGGTACCAAGCCTCACTTCCTGAGTGGAATGGCCAAAAAAAAACAATCTTCTTTTATTTACCACCAACATAGTCCAACCCCAAAAAGTGTCAAGAACTCAGGTCGTGAGCGACGCCTCCGCAAAACTTCCAGACGCACCGCCCAAAAAAAAGCCGCGCCCCCCTCCCCACGTCGCACCGACCCCCGGCCTGCACCCGCGGCACAAGGTCGGGCGCCCCGACGAATTTAGAACATCGGAAAGAAATCTGTCGGAATTGGGGGGATTTGGGTGGAATCCGTGATTGTTTGACCTGATGATGGACAAAAAACATTTCAGTGGTTGTTGTTGTTGTTGTTGTTTTGTGTGTGTATTTGTCTGATTTTTGTTTCAAAAGGTGCCAGTTGTTTTTTGTTTTTTGAGGGGGCTTTTTGTGGGGAACAAAAGTCTTTGGACCTGACTCGTGACCAAAAAAAAAAAAAGATACGATGTGTTTGTGCAGGGGGGGTTTTCAAAACTCTTTGGACCTTTGCAACATCTTTGCTTGCGGCGCAACGCCTGCACCACCTGCAAGAGAAAACAAGTTGCCGAGTTCTTTCGCAAAGGACAAAGAATCTGCGAATTTTCTTTTTCACGCTCATGTGACTGGTGAGAGGCTTGGAGAGAGATGCCTTCAATGTTTCTCTTGAGCCACGAAGGCGGCAAGGCTCGCAGATCTCGCTGTTCTAGCCACAGGCGCATGGCTGTTGCCGAGACGCACAAAGTGGCTTAGGGTCGAACCCGACGAGTCTGTCTCGAGCCGAAGGCAACTTGGACCTCCCATGGCTCCGAGGCTCGCGGAACGTCGAACTCAGCCGCTGCTTGGCGCAGACATTGGCGAGTGGCGCTGGCCAATGGCAAAACAAACTGGGCATGTTGACTAGGTCCTGTAGAGAGGTTGGAATAAGGGTACCAACTTTTTTCTGTAGTCTATTTTAGGGGAACACCTAGCTCTAGTTGAAATCGTAACCTTTTCCCACCGCTGGCCCCGTTGGCCCCGTTGGCTCCCAGAACTGGGAGCCGAGACCGCCTCCTGCGGGCTGATCTCCTGCAACTCGAAGGCGTCGAGGTGGCCTCACAGCGAGCTGAGCTCCGCAACCCTGTGCAGGCGAAGACCAAATCTCGCGCCATTCCAAGTCGTAAAAAATTACAAAACATTACGGAATCAAAACCATGGTGTCTGAACGGTGCGACATGGATCTGGTCCATCCACAGGATCCCTCCAAAGAAATCCCCACTGAAAGGGAGGCCACCCCCCTATTCGATCCGGGTCCCATCCTTTCCGAACAAGAATGGCCGTCAACTAAGACCCTAAAACTTTGCGTCGAGGGTTAAACCTGGCCCGTTTCAAAGGTTTCCACGCGAATGGATCCGAATCTGGGCATGGGCTCAAGGGCCCATGCCGAAGAATCCGGGCACCGGATTGCCGCAGAGCCTGGGCTTTGGCCTGAGCTCCATTTCACCATGGACTTGATGTGGTCACTCAGGAATTTGGACCCAAACACCGGTTACTACCCCATGACTAATCATTTGAATCAAACTACCTTCAATACCTTGTATATGTTTAAACTTGTGCATGTTCAACAGAAACATGATGCACACGGAACCATTCAATGGCGACGGCCATTGGCTCAAGCGCTGGAAAAAGCGCGATCTTTTTGCATAGACATAACCATAGGTTATGAGCCCAAACTCTCTGAGGTAAAGCCATGATTCGCAGGCGCCGGCGAGAAGTGGTACGAGATGGGGAGACCGCAGATGAGGCCTTGGACCGCCTCATCATGGAGCGGGTGCAGGAGGAGGAACGGGCATCGCGGAGGGCGAGGTCGGAGGATCTGGAAGACCGGCGGGGGATTCGCCGGGTCACCGGTCCGGAACGGAGTGAGCCTCGGGGCGGAAGGGATGTTTTTCCCCCTCCCGGGCTGGTGCCGGATATGGCAGAAGATGGACGCCGCGGGCAAGGAGCTCTACGGGGTCCCCCTGGACAAGGAGAACAACCCGGCCAACAGGAGCGGATTCTGGAACGGCCAGGTGAACCAATTCAAGATCGGGGTGGGGGTCAATTCCATCCTGGTGGGTCTCGAGGGCGTGGGTCTGGCGAAGGACCTGGGCCAAGCGGGCTACCTCAGGAAATCCGAGGACGTTCTGGGGCGCACGGCGGGCACGATGCTGTAGTACCCCAAGGGCAATTCCTGGCTGGTGGAGAAGGCCAAGGATCCGGGAGTAAGGCATGGTCATGATTCGGGAGAACCTGAAGGGCATGGTCAACTGCGTGGACAACCTGACGGGCGTCCTTCAGCTAGTCGAGAACTAACGGCTCATCAAGGTCAAGGCCAGGAATGGGAAGTCAGGCCGAGGCAGTTGGAGCCCTATGATGGTCGGGAGACTTTGAGTGGAAATCGGAGAGGTCCTTATGGTCCTGGAGATGCACCAGCAGGTGGTGGGGTGAACCCGTTTTGGAGCCCTGAGGTTCAAAGAAGGGCCGCCCAAGCACAACCTGTGTCTGCTGGCAGGGCGACCACCGATGACCGAGGACGGCAACAAGGTCAAGAAGAAGATCTTGAAGCTCTGCGACTACGGGTGATGAGGGACGCGGAGGAGATCTTCGAAAGAGAAGTGGCGAGATTGCAGGCGGCAAGAACGAGGGACGATGTTTCCTACAGGACGGCATCAGAAGGAGGAGTCGTTGGAGGTCTTGGTCCTCCACCGCTTCATGATGAAGGAAATCGACCTCAGCCACCTCCACCACCACCACCACCTCCGAGGGGATTGGACGACAATAAGCCGAGTGCTCCATCTCACTTGTCGGAGGCTCTGAGGAACTTGGAGTTGCCTAGTCTGCCTCCCCCTGGAGGAGATCTGGCAGCGTTGACCTTTGGAGATTGGGTGACGGTGATCGGGCCGTTGATGGCGGACATTGCAGGTTCAGCTCAAGAGTGGTGGAAGGATGTTCTTCAACGAGCAGAATCCACCTACACGGAGTGGCTGATTGCAACCCCCTTGGAGAAGCTGAGGCTGAAGCCTTCGTTGGGGGAGAAACACGTCCACAATCACCGGGTGGAGCAACGGGGGCTTTCCATGCTACTTGCTGCACTGCCTGACCCAATCCGCAGAGAAATCATCTCGGCAAGGAAAATGTCGGCCACGGAGATCATGTTTCGCCTTCACCAGATATATCAGCCAGGTGGGACGTCGGAGAGAGGCAATCTGCTCAAGAACTTGGCAGATCCGAAGGTGGGGAACACGTTGACGGAGGCCCTGCAGACGTTGAGGCTGTGGAGGAGATGGTTGGCGAGGGCAGAGGAGTTGGAGGTGGCACTACCAGATGGCTTGGTGTTGCTGACGGTCCTGAACAAGATTGCGGAAGCAGTCGGGAAAGCGGGTGCTCAAGCCAGCTTTCGGATCTCCTCGGTTCGCCAAGAACTTCAAGTTGATGTTCGCCCTCATCTCGCGAAGATCAAGCAGTTCTCGGAGTACTTGCAGGCGGAGGCGGAAGAACTCTCACTTGCAACAGCCCTGAAAACCTCATCCACGACCAACGCGGCCAATCCAACTCAGCCAGCGGCGGGACTCAAGGCCCTGGCGACTTCTGGAGCCAAGGATCCGGCTGCAGAGACGGGAGACCAGAAGAAAAGGTCATTCGGGGCACCATGCAGGTTTTGGGGCACAGATGGAGGATGCAAGAAGGGTGGCAGTTGCAGCTACGCCCATTCGTGGGATGGCTTGGAGAAGAACAACCGGTGCTTCGGATGCTCTGGGGTGGGCCACTCGAAGCGGGATTGCCCGGTCAAGAAATGGGACTGGGGCACGAGCAAGACGACAGCAACGGCCCCTCCCAAGGTGTCCAAGTTCGAGAAGCAAAAGGATGCAAGGTCTTCGGGAGAAGGCTCTGGCGCAGGCGGTGAAGGGGCCCGACAGGCTGGCTCACCGGGCTCCGCGGAGGAGGCGTCCCGGGAGGTCACCGGTCGGATTCCCAGCACCGCACCGCCGAGTTCGGTGGCCATGGGTGGAGGAACACCTAAGCCGCCGCAAGATGCTGCGGAGGCAGCTGGGTTGATGTCGGAAGTGGCGGGCTTGCTGAAATCATTGAGATCGATGAAGGCCCTCCAGATCAAGTATGAGGCAGCCAAGAGACAGGCTGGAGCTGAGGAGGTGGAGCCAGTTGCCCTCCTGGACGGAGGGGCAACGCATGCCTTGAGGCAAGCAAGGTCGCACGAAAGAGGCGATCTAACGGCAGTGGAAGTGGAGTTGGCCTGCGGAAGCACGGTGTTGTACAAGCACCCTGGCACGTCGGCCCTGTTGACGCTGGATCCGGTGGAGCCCATCATACCACTGAGGATGTTGGTCGATGCCGGCTTTGTGGTCAAGTGGAATGCCAAGGGCTGCATCATCGATCACCCTGGACACGGTCGGCTTCATTGTTGGCTTCGTCATGGGTGCCCGGTCATGAAACGGTCAGCGGCGATGAAGTTGATGGATTACCTGGATGCCCCGGGCGGGCGCGCGGCGGTAACCCAGGATCGGGAATGGTGGCTGCGGCATTTCCCGCATCTTCCGGAGGAGGTGCTGGAGCTCATGGGCCGAGTAGAGGACGGAGCAGAAGCAGCCGCTCGGAGCCCTTTCAACAGGAGCTCGAGAAGAAGATGGGAAAGAAGCAAGGGGCTGGTGGTTCACCTCTTCGCCGGAAGGGATGCCAAGGAGTGGAGAAGGGAAGATTGGAGAGGCTACGAGGTGATCACGATAGACATGGAGGAGAATGCGAGGCAGAACCTTCATGATGCGGCCTTGTGGGGATACCTTTGGCACCTTGGGAAGAAAGGACTGATTCGGGCCGTGATCGGCGGACCACCATGCCGGACTATTTCCAGGTTGCGGCACAATCAGCCAGGACCGAAGCCATTGAGGGGCCGGGACCAACGTTGGTATGGACTGCCAGGCTTGTCCATAGAGGACAAAAGGAAGGTCAATGGAGACACGGCACTGTTCTTCAAGCAGATGGCTTTGTGGTTGATCGCAGAGGACTCTTCATGGAGGGGAGGAAAACCGGTTGGGTTCCTGGGGGAGTCTCCGATGGACCCGGCCAAGTACGATCCAAAGGCAGAGGAGCTTGACATCCCCTCGTTCTGGAACTTCGAGGAGGTGCGCGAGTTCTGTCGGGATCATGGCATGATCTTGGTGGACCTAGATCAAGGGGCAGCTGGCCACCCCCGGAGGAAACCAACTACGCTGGCGACCAATCTGCCCGGCATGGGGGAGCTTCATGGACTTAAGGGTCAAGGCCATCAAGAGATGGAGGCGGACCTACAGCGACGGTTGGTGCAGACGAGGACCTGGTCGAAATGGGCACCTGGGATGGTGGCAGCGATCAAGGAGTCCCTGAAGGTGATGATTGATCAGCTGGAGGAAGGGTCAAGGGACAAGGTAGCAGACACGGGGGAGCTCAAGAAGATGACCATTGAAAAGTGGAAGGAGCATGTGAAAAGGGGACACGCTCCGTTCAATCGGAGGTGCCGGGTTTGCATGCAGGAAGCGGGCATAGATCGGCCCCATAGAAGGTTGAAGGCCGATATACCGGCTTACGTCCTCAACGTGGATATTGCTGGCCCCTTCTCGGCCGGAGATGATGCAGGCACCGGGAGAAAGGTCAAGTATGCCCTTATCGGAACGGTACCTGTACCTCTTGAAGGAGGAGAAGGTGGTGATCCACCAGCAGAGCCGGTCGAAGATGCAGAAGAAGATGTGGTCTCAGGTGAATGGGAAGAAGAAGATGAGCAGCCCCGCGCTTCAGATGACGAGGCAAGGCGGCTCAACGAGAAGGTCAAGGACGAGATGGCCGAGGCGCTCAAAGGGGTCAAGGTTCAGAATGTCACCATGACGGAAGTAATGGAAACCCGGAGTGCCACGGAGGTTATCAGAGCCCTGAACCTTATCTTCGTGAAATACCGCAGCTTGGGGATCCCGCTCTACCGCATGCACTGTGACCGAGCAAAGGAGTTCCTCTCGAAGCAGGTGCAGCATTGGTGCTTGGAACATAACTTGCTGCTTACCATGACCTCGGGAGACGATCATGCAGCGAACGGAAGAGTGGAGACAGAGGTCAACCATGTCAAAAGAAGGCTTCGAGTGGTGCTGAAGGGGTCTGGAGCTCCAGCGAAGTGGTGGCCTGCAGCCCTACGTCATGTGGTCCTACAGCGAAATCAGCAACAGCTGGAAAGACTTGGGGTGGAGACCTTCCCGCTGCTCCCATTCTACGCTAAGGTCATGGTGAAGACGAAGAGATGGCATAAGAAGGGGCCCTTGGCATCACCTTTTCGTGAAGTTCGCTTACTGGGTCCGAGCCCATTGATGAGCTGGGGTTGGGTGGTGCAAACCAATGAGGGGACCATCCAGCATGCAAGGGCTGCCATCTTGCCAGATGAGGAAGCAGACAGGGCGCGGTACGAGCTGGAGGTGGACGATAACCCTGGGAAACCGAAGCAACGGCTGACCGGGAAACAGCGAATGGAACGCGGGCCACATCTGGGGGGAGATCTCGACCATGAAGAAGGTGTACTGCCTCAGGAAGAAGATGAAGGCCCCGCTCTACGTGAACTGCAAGCGGGGGGGGAGTACTACACTGGCCTGAAGAAATTTTGGCTAACAGACAAAGGAAGACAAGAGCTCGAGGAGACTCTGGGCGCCTATCAGTGGGGCTTGAAGGAAGCATTAGCAGAGGAAATCAAGGTCGTCCCCATGGGTGAGGAGCTTGGATTTGCACATGGTGCCGCGGTGGAGTTCCTCATGGGTGGCATCAATCAGCTGGAAGACGACCTGGGGAACCTTCAGAAGGACGAGGGTGAGAAGGGCTATCGGATGGCCTTGTTGAAGGGAGGTTGCGAAGAGGAGCCGGAAAAGGTTCTACAAACTCGCACCGTGCCGCTTCAGGAGGTGAGAAGAGATCTGGAAAGCTGGAAAGAAGCCATGACCGATGAGTATAATGCCTTGGTGTACGGCACGAAGGTGGTGAAGCCAGTGAACGAGAAGGATTTGGACAGCATCCCGGGCATCGAGAACGCGGAGTTTGCCCCGGGTAAGCTGGTCACAACCATCAAGGCACCTCTGGGCAGGAAAAGAGCTCGGGCGGTGATTTGTGGCAACCTGTTGACGGACGGCAATGGTGAAAGCTCGAAGTCGGCGGTGGACAAGAAGGAAAACTACGCGGGAGGCATCGATGGCACGGCCTTGAGGTGCGTCCTACGGAAAACGGCACACGAGCGGTGGGACCTGGCCACGGTGGATGTAAAATGCGCCTTCCTGCTGGCACCTCGCCAAGAGAAGAGGAGGGTCCTCATCACGAGGCCCCCCAAGGTGCTTGTGGAAGCGGGCATCGTTCCGGCTTCGGAGCGTTGGCTTGTTCAAGGAGCCATGTATGGTCTGGAGACCAGCCCAGCAGACTGGTCGGCTTTCAGAGACCAGCGTCTGAGGGGTTTCGAGTGGAAGCATGAGGGCCGAAGCTTCAAGCTGCAGCAGACCACCGAGTCCAACGTGTGGGCGGTGATGGAGCAGAAAAAGGAGACAGATGGACTGCAAGCTCCGTGCGGATACGTTGTGATCTACGTAGATGATTTTTTGGCAGCTGGACCTCGAGGCTTGGTGGATAGCATCATCAAGCGGATCAATGAAGAATGGGTCTGCAGCCTGCCGGAATGGATTCATCATGAAGGTTGGACCAAGTTCTGCGGGATGGAGTTGAGATGGAATGGAGATGGAAATCTGCACGTGGCTCAGCCCTCCTACATCGCGGAGCTGATCAAGAGGCACAACGTAGAGTGTGCTCGACCGGTCCCGTTCAGCAAGCCGGAGATCCCCGAGAACCCGCAGATGACGCCAGAGGCTATTCGGGCGGCTCAGGGATTGGTTGGTGAGCTGCTATGGTTATCGGTGCGGACGAGACCAGATGTGTCCTTCGGAGTCTCTTGGATGTCACAACATGTGACACGATGTCCGCAGGAGGTGGTCAAGGTCGGCATGGAGATGATGGCGTACTTGCACGGTACGAAGGAATTGGGCCTGGTGTATGGGGGCTGCAAGGGAGACAGGGGGCCAGATGGCGGTTTGCCGTTTGCGAGGTCAATGAGGAGATTAGAGATGTACGCGGACATCTCCTTTGCCCCGTTGGGTGAAAAGAGCCATCAAGGGGTTCTCGGTTTCTATGGTGGCGCCTTGGTTCAATGGGAATCCAGCCGCCAGCCGTTTGCGACCCTTAGCACAGCGGAAGCCGAACTGGTGGGCTACATCGAGGCCATGATCATGGGTGACTCCCTCTGCGCGGTCTTGGACATCATGGAGGGTGGCCACAACGGCGGAGGAATCACGGAGAAAGTGATATACGGGGATAACACGGCGGCGTTGGCCATCGTTCAGAATCCAGATGGGCCGTGGCGCACACGGCATCTTCGGCTGCGTGCCAATGTGTTGCGAGAAAGAGTGAGAGGTGGAGAATGGCAGGTTCGACATTTGCCAGGTTGTGATTTGGTCGCGGACTACCTCACGAAGACGGTGGCTTCCAGGTCACAGTGGCTCAGGTTCTACGCCATGACGGGCATGCTCCTGGCCACATCGGAGGTGGATGGAATGGTGAACCAAGAAGCTATTGGGTCCCAGAAGGGCCTCCCCAAGGACACGGTCATGAAGGTGGCGGCTCTGAGTGGGCTCATGGGGATTGTGGCTTGCTGGAAGCCGCAGGACCCTCGGTCTCACACCGTGAAGGAGCTTTGTCTGGCGGCTCTTGGTGTTGGTTTAGGTTTCGTGTATAAAGGCCATCGGGCCCAACCTGCGAGGGAATCAAGATCGGCTAGGGATGATGAACCAGCCGCACAGCAAGGCAACTTCGAGGGAAGGATTGCCAAGATGGTCAGGGAAGATGAACCGACCACACCAAGGGACCCCTCTGTTTGGAAGCTTGTCACCAGGGATGATGAACCGGTGAAGGCAAGACCCTCTGTCAGGGAAGATGAACCGACAGAGAGGAAGATCGCCAGGGAACATGAACCGGCGACGTCAAGAAGGGCTAGGGAAAATGAACCAGCCCCGAGGGTAAAACAAGAGGACCCCTGCCGCTTGCCGTTTTACCACTGCCCTACGGGCTGCCCTGCATCAATAGGTAAGGGTCGGGTGCCAATCGAGGCACCAAGTGAGCCATGGCCTGAACCACCTGGTGGTCCAATTCGTGGGTCACAGGATGAGGAGCCTGAGGACTTTTGGGAGGTGACGTTTGAGCGAGACTTCATCGTGGCGACCCGCATTCATATGCTGAGGAGAAACCGGGATTTTCAACCGGATCCGAGGAACATGCCTCCGGGGGTCAACGCTACGATGCTGGAAAGTCGGCGACAGACCAATTTGGTTTTCGTCGATATCGAGCGAGGGCGGCGGGTGATCAATGACAATTGGAGGATGGAAGCTTTTCGCGAAGCAGATGCCTGGACGGGATCTACGACATTCGTGGCTCCACTGCGAGGCAATGTGAGCTTGCGGGACCTGGGAATCACTTCACTACCGGGTGAGCGTGAACGAAGCCGCAGTCCGAGGGATGACAACAACCCGGATGATGCGGGACCAGCCCGTCCCAGGATTGGGAACACCCACATCAGGGCCCCAAGCCAGCGAGAAGTTCGACCGCGGCTGCGAGCCTTGAGGTGGTTGTCGAAGCAGCCGAATGTGGAGACCAAGCAGGCAAATAAGATTGAGGAGAAGACGGAGGAGGGGAGGAGGTCAGATAATCAAGAAGAAGACCTTCATCAGGATGGACCAGTACTCCCGTGGGAGCTCGAGGAGTACAAGGTCCCCCCGATGCTCAAGAACAAGAACAAGGACGAGTGGGATTGGTCCCAGCCGGGATGGGCAATCCGTGCACATGGCAAACCTCGGAAACGCAGGTTTCACCCGATCCATCGAGAGTTCCCGCTGGATGCAGCGCGGTTGGAGTCGAGGAGGATCACGGTGAAGCTACACACGGGCACATCGCCTTTGGGTATCCGGTCCGTCGAGGAGGACAGCTGGACCGCTCATCAGGAGCGACAACGAACCTCGCAAATGCAACCATGGCGAGGGTACACTTTCTTCCAGATCAAGGTCAGGAAGGAGAGGAATTCCGGCTGGTCGTCCGGGAAGGACCGTGGAATCGCTTCGAGGGGCATCGATCCAAGCGCAAGGGGCTCTGGGGACCAAGTTGGATCCGGAGGCTATGCGCGAGGAGGCCCAGAGGAGCGTGGGAAAGATGCTGGCCCCGTAGTCACATTTCCAAAGGCGAAGGCTGGCGGACAAGGGAGGACTACTACATGGGCGAGCACTATGGAGGCAAAACCTAGGACTCCATCAAGTCTTCCGGTGGCAGATGGTGCTGGGGATTTGGCGGAGGAATTTTCAGTTTCTTCTTCTGAATGGGAAGAAGTTTGAATGCAGCCGAAGGCTGCAGGGGGAGTGTGCATGTTCAACAGAAACATGATGCACACGGAACCATTCAATGGCGACGGCCATTGGCTCAAGCGCTGGAAAAAGCGCGATCTTTTTGCATAGACATAACCATAAAACTAAATAAGCCTAACATAATTAAATTCATATGAGCAATAGAGTGGTTCTGCCTGGTGGCGTCCCTTTAAACCAATCAGCTTGGTTTGGTGGTTGAGGGGTTTCAGTCAGGGAGTTACTAAACTTACTAAACCAAACACCGGTGTTGCCTGTTGGCGTCCTAAGCTGAAAACGGGCCCGAGCCTCACCAAAAAACGAGACCATGGTCTGATCTCCGAGGAGAAACCGATGGATCTGAAAATCAGCTCCTGGCTCAGCCCCCGGATGGTTTCCACCACCCCCAAACCACCCCAAAATCTTGATGGGCCATATACCTTTCAGCAGCTATGTAGTGGAAACCCTGGAAAGTATTGGTTTCGGGGTAGTGGAAACTTCGGACAAAAAAATGGAGAGCAACCGCTGTCCCTTTGCTTCGTTGACCGTTCACATACCTTCCTGATCCGATTTGCTCTGTGTGTGCGCGCTTCACCGAATTTGCAACGATGATTTGCAAGGTCCGTTGACACTTCTTTTCGAACAAGCTTAGAGCCCTGCACAGTCTTTGGCACCGTCTTCGGCACTTTTGCCGCCTCCACCTCGATCGCTCGCAAATCAAAAACAACAAAGTATGCCGACTGTGCCAAGGTCCGCCAGTTTGTTCTTCCCCTCCTCCCTCACTGCATCTTCAAACCCAGACGACGCCCTCCTTCACTAGAACCTGCAAAGCTCCTGGGGCCCCAGCCACGATCCATGGGTCCTGCCATCAGCTGCAGCTCCCAACCAGGCACTGCCAAACACCAAGCTGGAGATCCGCTGCCCCAAGATGAAACTTCTTTGTCACCTGCTTCCCAATTTGTCCTCATCTGTCGAGCCTCCCAAACCAAGTCGCCAGCCTCGAGGGTATCTTCAACAGAAAACCGCCAGTCGCTGCCCTACCAAAACAACTTACCAAAGCCATGTTCCTTTTAAAGGGACCATTTCCCTGTCACGTTCCGGCTGTAAATTGTTGGGAGTGTATCTCAAAGGCCCCAAACTTTCAACCTTTTCTTGCGCCCGCGACAGACCTTGCTCCAGAAACTCCTCCAAGACAGCAGCAGTGGCCGCTGCTGCAACGGCCGCCGCTTGGTCGCAGTCGTCTCCTCCCACGGTTGGAGGTACTCCGCAGAAGAACGCACTCCTACTGTGGATGGATAAAATCCGACTTGCAAGTTGGTAGGCGCTTTATCCTGTATTCATAGGGCTTCACTTATCCCAGCTGGTGCTGGATTTTGTCAGTTCACGCTATGTTCCTGCGTTCCGCCTTGAAACAGTTGATGTGTTTGGATCCAGAACACAGCAGTGGCAAGCGCAGCTCTGAATCATGCCCGGTCAGCAACTGAGAATAGCACAACCGGCCCTGAATGCCGGCATTACAAGAGCTTCAATGCCCGATTCGGCGTGCAAAGCTGCCGCGAGTTGAACCTTCCCACGTGATCAACGCGGCTTTGAGCCTGCTTTTTTTGTCTCACTTCATGGAAGCTGACAGGAGTTTGGGACGACTACCTTCCTCTTGCGGAAGCCGTCGGTCCGCTACCATGATTGTTGGCAAAAGGGTAAGTTCAACTTGTGGTATGAACTTCCCGCAAGATTTGGTCCAAAGAAGTTCAACGAGACTCCTGCGCCTTGCACGCCACGAACCTGGCGACACTGAGGTTTATTGTATCGACTGCTACTTGCCTCGTAGAGGACTGGTTGGTCCAGTCTTTGCCTTTTGGGTGTGGGTCAAAAATAGGCTCCAATTCCTGGTGGATTGAGTTTGACCCATACCCTTTTGAAATGCTTGAGAGGGGGCAACTGATTTGGCACATGAAGCCTGGCATGACTCGCTATTCAAGGCTGCAAAGGGTGATACAGGGACGTACACCAACTTATGGAACTACACCAACTGAGTCACAATCAAAACACGGTGCTAAAATGGTCTACACAGAACCATGTAAGGAATTAAGAAGGCGGCCGCAGGTATTTACGTTTGGGATCGTCCTTTACTAAGCTTCATCCGGGTTTTGATTGTGGCTCACCTGAGGACTGCAAACAGTCGGGCTCAAGTCCGCGGCGTGGCGTTGCATATTCCCCATTGGTACTGGAAGGCTTCCAGCGGCATACCCACAGTAGATCTGCGTCCTTTGTCGCCCCACACACCTGAGATGATACCATCTCAAGAAACGGCATGGGCCAAAATTAAACCACCAGGGGACCGCAGGTTTTAGTCCATGTGTCCATTTGCCAGGGCAAGCCATTTTGGGACCATTTTTTGATTTAAGAAATCCTCGAGCCTGTCTCTCTTCCATCCCGAAAGCCCCAAAGCGTCGCACTGTTTCGCACCAGGCAAACCAGAAGATTACTAGGCGCCGCAGAGTGAGCATCCAGCGCTTTTGTCCACCCGTGATAGAGTTTGGTCAAGAACCTCTAACCAGTTCAAATGCTGGGGAGTTGCCGGAACCTCCTCTTTGCAGTTCTCCTAGCATCTCGCTCACCCGGCTGCCAACTGAGGATGCCCGGTATGAGAAATCGAGTGTCCTACAATACAGTGAAACCATTCGCTCGCAGCTGTCTGAAAGCACATGTGGATCATTCGGGCCTGGCATCGCCAGGAAGGCTCTTGAAAAGCAGCGATGGCGCAGGAGAGCCGCTGCTAACATCATCCCACATGATCTAAGTACCGTGAGCCAATCCTTCACCGCCTTGTCTCCAGATGTGCATTCGCTGCAGGGCAAAGCTTTGTTACACTTGAACTGCTGGACTGGCCAAACAAAACCTGGCGCAAAGCTTTGCCCAAAGCTAAGCAAGCACAAAGGAAGGCTGATTCTGATGCACATCACAAGCCAACCGGCTTCATGCACCCGCATCAGGACGCTCGGGCCCTCGGACACCGACAGAGCCCAAAGGAGGCGGTGTTTGCCACGTTTTGAGGCAAGGGCTGGTACACCAGCTGGTCCAAGTCGAAGCAGTGCTGCCTATCCGGACAGCATGAGTGACATGAGTCACAATTAAAACCCGCCATTAAAATGGCCGAGACCCAAATCAAGGTAAAGAACCACAAAGGCGGATATCCGCACCCAATTCTGGCTGGGAGTGTCCCTTGCCCTCCAATTTCCCAGGTGTTGATTATTCAAATATGCCATCCCAACAACCCACCCCTCGCTCGAAAAAGACGACCCCCAGCCATCTCCGGTTGGGCTCGGGGTGGGATGTGGCCCCGGGCTCGGGGTGGGATGTGGCCCCTGTTTTGGTGGCTTGACAGGGAAACCAAAAAACACTGCACAAAGTTTGGTGGGCCCCAATCCTCAAAAAAGAAACTCACAGCCCAAATGGAGATATCTGGGCCCCCCGCTTGTAGACTTGCCGACCCACCAGCGCTTCCAAGTCCTTCTTCACGCTGCCTGAGCGGCGCGGCTTCCGAGCGGAAGCTGACCCGAGATCCCGCGGAGGGTTTCTGGTCATAACCAAACCTGATCGGTACCATCATTGTAATACCCAACACCATGTAAAGAGTTACCAAGGCGGCTGCACCCATTCATGGTTGGGACTATCTCTCACTAACCTTCATCTACCCGGGGTTTAATTGTGGCTCACCCAAGACACTTGCCGGGTCCACTGAGAATGACCTTCCGGGTGTTTGAGCGATTGTAAAAATCCCCTTCAAGGAAACCAAAAGGAATGCATTATAGGGCATTCCCTCATTCCCTGCTGAGCACCAGCCAGGAAACCATTCAAACCGCAAGGTTTGTTGGTGTTTACATGATTCCAGAGTTTCTGAACGGTGGTGCGAAATGGATTTTGTCTAGGAGGAGATGACTCATTTGGGTCTGTGTCAGAACAGGGATTTGACACATTTCTCAAAATGGTGTTTTTTTTGGTTCCACGGAAAACAAATGGAAGAAACACACAAGCCAATTCCCACTCCACGGCCGCCTTGTGGCCATTTGTGCCAGCTAGAGTGTGGGTTTGTTTGTTTTATGTTATCATACAGTCTTTTGGAGATCTTTCGAAGAAGGCCAGGGGAAAAGTTGTCCACTGTACCCCAATCAAGAAGAATGACACTTAAGCCTTATCTAGTGCTTGTTTGCTAAAGTACCCTTGATTGTGGTCTTATCCTCAAGGGGTATGTTCCAGGGGTCGCAACCTTTGAATCTCCAAATGAAAAACAATCCACCCACCCACCCACCCACCCACCCGACCCATCCCACCCATTCATTTGGAGACAAATTATAAGGGCACTTCGCGCTCAAACCTACACCCGTGAGTGCCTTTTCCTGCAAGCTGCTCTCAGACACACCTCGCATCCGCGCGTCCAGCAGGAAGTGGAACGCCTGCCCAGAGACCAATCACACATGTGTTGTTGTTGTTGTTGTTTTTTTTTATTATTATTTTTTATATATATATATATATATATTTTACATTGAAAAAAGAGGTCACTGCAGAATTCAAGTTTCATCGCAACTTCTCCCCGAGGTTGACTGGGGCTTGCCCAAAATATTGGTGGCTCCCTGTGAAAACCCCGATCCAAGCGGGGAAAAAAAGAAGAAGAAAACTCAAGCATCTCTCCAGAGTTCGAGGCCTCTCCACTTCTCCACTTCCCGAGCCTTCTCAAAGGGCTCCTCGCCCATCTTGCGGATCAACCTCGGAACCGGCGCCCCGCCCCAGGGGAAAGATCCATCGCTGAGGGCCCATGGGCCAAAGGGAATCCGTCAACATGTCACTCCCAAAAGGACGCGTGCCAATGCGCCCGGAAGCGCATCCATGCACCACCAATGCGCAGATGCAGATTTGCTGAGCGCCTGGACTCCTCCTTCATCCTGGAACCTCGGAACCGAGAGCCGCCAACCATAGCCCGCGAGTCGAAGCCTGGGAGTGGAGTCTGTCGACCCAAAAAACTCTCCGAGGTGAGTCAAACCAAAGGCCTTGAACTCAACGACCTGGGACGCCCCACGCAAATCCATGATGGGAATCGCCAGGGTCGGAGTCGCAGGAGCGCGGGCCTGCCCGAGGTGGTCCATAGGTGACAAACCTATCACCATCTACCTCATGGTGGGGACTGACCTAAGCTTCATCTGGAGGCAAAGCTTGTTTGAGCAACCAGCTGGTCCCTTTCGAATGAAACCAGAATCCTTCCATTTGCTTCTTCGCCCCCTCGAAAAAGTCGCGGAAAATGTGTCCAGTAGTCAACACCAAGCGCAAGTAAGAAACATATTCATTTGGCCATGGGTCAAAATCCCGTACCCCAAGTGAACATCCCAATCCCCACTAGAATAGGTTCTAAAATTGGTGGTGCAAATATCTTAAAATGGGCTCCCGTTGGTTTTGACAACCACAGCCATTTCAGCCAATGGAAGAGGAGGGTCCCAGGTAAAGCACGTCGCACGTCGCAGGCTCAGCCCTTGGCTGGTGCAGCGGGGCTCCTGTCCAGGCTTCCAGTTCTGCGCCTAAGTCACGTGGGTATGGGTCAAAATGAAACCGCCAGGGGGCCGCGGGTTTTAGTCTTTGGTTTCATTTACCAGGGTTCCCTTTTGGGTACCTATTTTTGATCCACACCCACATGCACTTTTCTTGAGGGAATTCCCCGGAACGGCCGGGTTTTCCTTTGGTTCCTCCTCGTTTTTCCTTGCGCTTTTGGGCCTCAAATAAAGTGTCGCCAAGTTCTTCCTTTGGTTTCCCAATAAAGCCGGGGCCCGTCAGCAATAAACTTTGCAGCCAAGGGACGGCACAATCGGCGCTGCTGGGGAGTCTGGGACATGCCTTGCCAAGTCCTGGCAACAGGCAAATGCCAGAACATGCTGACTGCTGGTGGACACAGCCTCTGTTATACTTCACCGTGGAACGAGCGCAAGGATTCCTATGGCATGTGCCGCTGAAGAAAGCTTCAGGTTTGCTTTAGACGGCTATATACTTGGTGAAAGCATGGAGATTAATCAGTTGTCAAATGGAAGATTGTGCACAGGTCCGATAGGTAGCTCGGGATTCCTCATACAAACACCACCTGCTTTAAGGGCAGCTGGAAATGGTGATGCTTTTCATTGGCCCAGTGTATCCTCAAAGGACCCTGTAGCTTGGAAGAGGTGTTGCGTTCCGCGCAAGCTGCCGGAATCGTCAGTCCTGCTCGTAATTGTTCATGACCCGGGACAGGTCTTCCTCTTCCCGCACCATCGACAGGGCGCCTGCCGCTCTCAATAGATTGAATCCAGAGTCCTCCCCTTTCAAAGGCCTGGTTACCCCTTTGCTTGGTTCTCCCAAACCAAGCACCCCCCCCAGAATAATTGGTGTATATGTGTATGTGCATATACATATATATATATATATATGTATATTCGCCTGGCATCATGAAAACAAACACACCAAGCATGGCACTAAATTGACTGTGGTGAAAACGCCCTGCCACACCAAGCGCCCATCGCGCTGAAGGAGGTTCTCAAGAAAACTAGGGCGCGTCGTGAACCTGATGCGAAAGCTAGGCGCTTCGCTCCTCCGTAGCCAACACTCAAGCTTTCACACGCTGCCGTGCGCGCAGTCCTCCCCATTCGTTTGCATCGCAAAGCATGCGTCTGGATAGCTGCGGCAGTTGCCCCAGGCAACCACAAATGCAGTCTCGGTAGCAGATTTGCCGTCACACGCATTTTAACACCCTCACACGTCACGGCGGC